GCCTCACCCAGGCGGGAGAAGTCATTCAAAAAAAGAATTGCTTATGCGAATAACGAAACGCGGTTTTCAATCTACCCTCTACAGCTATTTATTAAATCAGGGTTTAATGCATTATTTGACAGAATCAAGTCAACCGATTACTTACAGTTTAGACCGATTCCTATAGTACCTAAATATATCTTATCTTATGTTACTGGTTGTTTAAAGTGCGTGTTATAAAAACATTGTCGTATGTATTTTGATAGTTATTTCTTTGCGTTGTCTTAGAAAAATTCTTATTAAGCTATGGAACCTACAACTTCAGGTATGTAATGATATTTCAGACACATTTTATTTTAATTTACGCTAAATAAGGTGTATAACTGTATGACTGCCTCGTTGGCCGAGTGGTTGCAAGTGCGACTCCCGGCAAGGTTCGGGTTCGATTCCCAGGACGGGCAAAGAATTAGGTACAGGTTTTTTTTTAATTCTCAGTAGTAGCACGGAGTCTGGAATTGTGCCCGGTATATGGCAATAGGCTCGCTCCCTATTACATGGGACTCATAACATAAATAGTGAAAAGTGGGTGTCACATTGTACAGTGGTATTAAGTGCCGTAATGTGCAATCTCTGCCTACCTCTTCGGGGATAAAAGGCGTGATTTCATGTAGGTCAAATCAATCAGTACATTTAAGTATGATAAAGCTTTTTTTTTCATTTTTTTTTACCGTTAAGCTTTTAGTTGTGTTCCTAACTGAATTCCAATGCAATTTATTTTCTTTACTATCCATGTATTGTTGGCAACTAAACTAAAGAAAAAAGTGCTACTTTATAAACTTTATAAATTATTTGTTTAAACGCGCTAATCTCTGGAAATACTGATTCGATATGAAAAAATCATTTTATTTTGTTTTTATTTTATTTTTATTTAATTTATTTAACAAAAGTACAATTTTAGGAATAACATTTTGTTCATAAAATAAAAGATCCTCGCCAAACATATCGTTTAACGGCGAGAAGCGCTCATTTCTTATTCTTATTAGCTAATTAAGTATTTTATATAACATTAAAAGAAAACTGAAATCAAAAAAATTTGGATAGTCCATTTATCGAGGAAGGCTATGGGCTATAAAACATCACGCTACGATTAATAAAAGCCGAGCAGGGGGCCAATAACTATTGCGTTCGTATCGTAACAGTATCGAGCGAGTTAAGCGTTCTGATTGGTTGGTTCACTTGAGCCGGCCAATCAGAGCGCCGAACGCACTCGATACTATTACGTTACGAATGCGATAGTTATTCGTGCTTGGCACTCAGAGCGCTTGAAAACGTGCGGGAGTAACTAGTTTGAAATAAAACTGAAAAGGTACACACACAAAAGAATCCATGTAATATAAAAAAGATCTTATTTGTATTTAGAAGCAATTGAACAAGAAACAATATTTAATACCAACTAAAAGGTTACCTTGGTCACGTGAGCGTCGTCGTCTAAAAAAACAAAGGGTTGTCTAATATGTACCTAAAACCCCTCAATATTGTGAACTTTTGATACTTAAAACCACAACATATAAAGAAGATTTATATGTTGTGTGCTTAGCACTGATGGAAAATTATAGTGACATTTTATATGCTCATTTGTAACATAATATTTTACCTATTGGGACAAATTATACTTGTTAAAAACGGCACAGTAACTTCATTAGCATATTTTAATGACATTGGTTCACCTAGTATAGTAACTACTTAGTTATTTTTGTAAAAAAAAAAACAACATAAATTTAGTCATCTTCTCTATTATTTGTATGAATCATTCGGGAAAACGAATTATTTATTTATTATTCTGTACACAAAATTACAGTGAATGGCGGTCTTAATGCCTTAAGGCATTCTCTAACAGTCAACCATAGGGTAGTGCAGAGAAATGAAGCGGTTGATGCGAAGCCAGAACACAATTTCAAAATGATTAAATAGATACACCAGCGACCCTCCCCAGCTTCGCACGGGTGCAATATGGCATGTATTATACATATAAACCTTCCTTAAGAATCACTCTATCTAATATTAATTAAAAACTGCATCAAAATCCGTTGCGTAGATTCAAAGATCTAAACATACATAGGGATAGACAGACGGCGGATAGCGACTTTGTTTTATACAATGTAGTGATAGTGATTACTTCAAACTACGTTTGAAGGTAGATATCTGAGTCTAGTTATTAGTAACTACAGACAATATAAAGTCCCTCGTTAAAGATAATATTAACAATAACATAACTAATCACGTACAATTTTCTTAACGTTATTGAGAAACTCCAGTCTAACCGGATTTTCCTCATATATTTTTTTATTTACTTGTAAGTAAGATGGCAACTTTTTTCTAAGTCCTATTCATTTTATAGGTAACATCTCATACCAAGATATTATATTAATCTTACGTCAAATGAAACTGGCTATTTTTTTAACAACAAAAAAGGCGCGATATAAATATACAGGCTGTTTAAAAAATTAGAATCATTTTTCAACGAAAATATTTGTCTAATACGATTTGCTCACGCTGTTTATTCATGCAGACTAGACCAATATTAAACGTTAAGCCGTATGTGCATAATAATTAAATACATATAAAGCGCAAATTTACTTTTATATCGATTTAGGTATGGCAGGAATCGTAGGTGATGTAAAGCAGGGCTGTCCAAACAAAGGCCCGCGGGCAGCATGCGGCCCGCAGATAGTTTTCATATGGCCCGCGACACACATTTTAATCTCAACATCTTCATCTTATGTGCAACAACAATAATAAAATTAAATGTATGATTTGTATGCAAGTTTTGTCTGTGAGTGAAGAATATAATGTTTAACGTCATTATACAAATGAAAACATTTTTCTGGCCCTCCAGGTTTTATAAGAAATTTAATTAGCCCGCGAGGGTATATAGTTTGGACAGCCCTGATGTAAAGTAATATTTTATTATTGATACTTAACAATTTAAAGTGTAAAATACTAAGTAAATCTACTTATGTAATACACACAAATCTTTGTAAACATAAAGATGTCTGATTCGTTAGTGGTTGCTTAGCAACTAGTCTGGTAGTTATTGGAACGATGACTAACAAACGTTTTGATGTAAAAATATGACTTATTTACCACAGGGCTTGTTGTTGCTTGCCTTGAGTAAAGTTAATTTATACATAAACAATTATGGTGTCTCAGATTTCCGTATATTTCTATATTAAATCTGAAAGCGCGATTAGTTTTGGAGATAAAAAGTTATTTTTGTCCTTCATAGTTTTTATTGCTTTTATTCTATGAAGGTAAGTTATGTAAATATATTGTTGTTATGACATGGTATATTTACACTTAATAGACACGTGTATATTCAAGATTTTAGTTTTATTGAGGGTGTTTTAAAGATCAATGCTAAGCCACTAGGCACCAGACTTTCATTTAGTACATATTCAACCCAATGTATTTTAGGTAAAGTCTGCTTGTACGGATAAATTAAATAAAGTAATTAATTGTATTTTCTCTTCCAAGATATAATATGCGTAATATATTATGTGAAGTGTGCAAGCATAGGACAGATAATATCAGTTTTATATCTAATCATATCGAAGGAATTATTATTGAGATCACACTAATTATCTCATTATAGTTTCGAAAATATAGATAAAATTGAGGATAATGTTCAAAATTTAATCAGAAACATGAATTCTTGTGCATGATTATAAACGTTCACTTAAGTGTATAGGACGAACTTAAGGAATCAATTCCTTTTTCATTTTTATGTCATTTTATATTACTGATGGACTTGTATGTAAAAACTCAAGTTTTACGATAGAAAGGGTTATTATGGCAAGAGTATCGGCATCGTCGCTCGGCCGAGATATCGCGACCCCGACTTGCCCCGTCTGCCGATAGCTCCAGAATGCCGCCACTGTTTACATCTTGTACTACGTTTTAAGACCAAATCACTGCATTAAACGTTATTACACTTATTACTATTCAAACAGCTATTAGCTTTGTCTGTCAAGGATCATAACAACTTACAATATAATTTAGACTAATTATCTCATAATTACTTGATATTTGTCTCAAGTGTCAGCATTAGATTGTGGTACTTTTCAAGCATTATTATCACTTATACAGCAACCCTGTATTTCTGTAAAACATGCGATATGACAGTATCGGATGATATGGGTCGGTCATTTCGTCTTATCATCCCTCAGATAAATCATCTCCACGAACATTATCAGAATCCTGGTAGATAGCATGTACTACCCACACAACAGACGCACACATGGCAACAAAGGAGTACGCGAACAAAGCGAGTGCGTATGACAACTAATTAGTCACCCCGTCATGTCAGTTTGTTTACTTAATGGTACATGACGGTTATGGCAAAACGTTGTGTTCGTCAGCTGCTACTGAGTGACTCCTCGGGCGCGCCGCATTCGATTCCACATCCGCTGCATTTCCGATAACGGGTGAGTCAGCGGCGCGGTGTCGGGTGTGCGCCGCGAATCGGCGAATCGCTACCATTTGCTGACTTGGACAGTGTTGAGCGGGTCATTCATAGGTGCCGTCAGCAGATTGGCGAAACGGATGTTAGGTGCGATGTCGACCGCAGCCGTCAGTCGCAGGCAAACCGCGAGCGCGGAAGGTCGCGCTGTGTCCATCAGCTAGTCACCCGAGACCGGCGTGATCCTCTATAAACAACGCTATCGACAACTTGTACACAATAACGGTGTGATAAAAACGAAAACATTACCCGGAAGCGGTGTAGTCCCTGTCACCAAACTCATTACTGGATAAATATTTGCTGTGATTAGTTTACTGTTTGTTATGATCTACGTTTCGTAAAATATTCCGTGATAACAGGGTTGTGATATTTGGTTTAGTTAAACCACCTGTTGATTATTCGTGTTTATGTGGAGCAGTATCAGGATTATCAGTTGTTGCGTTACTTCGATTAGTGGATAACAGTTGGACGTGGGTGTTGCGTGGTGTCAGGCGGCTGGAAGATGCCGGTGCTCGGTTACGAAATGACATCACAGGAGTTGTGCCCAATGTACAGCACAGTCGACTATATGATGGGTGGACAGCCACATGGGTGGGAGAAGCACTCCAGTAACCAATACTACGGGCCTGTAGTGCGCAGTCCGCCACAAGAGGCGCGGCCTGTCGTCACATACAATAACGAAGGTTTGTTGACACCACACTCCTAAGTTCACGTTTTATTCGCACGTTTGTCAACATGTTGATATGTCGTTAATATTTGCATAAAATAAGCAAAAGAAATTAGCAACCTAGCTACGTTTAAAAATAATGATGACTTCAAATGATATTTTCGTCAATTTTTGCGTTTTATCTATTTTTTTAGCTCCTTGTTGTAATCTATGTTGATAACAGCTGACACTTTATAAAGAATGATGTATGGTTAATTACTGTTTTCGTTATCATGTAGATTTCAGTGCATGATGTCAGCACAACAAATGGATTCAGATTTCTTTATAGATCACAGAATAATCAGTTTCTATACTTCTACAATGACAAACAGTTCAACAGTGCCTATGAAATAAACAGTATTCATTGACATGTAGGAACGGCGCATTTAAAGTACATACTAAACTTTAAATTTTATTGGGTCGAGTTATCGTGAATATTTAAGTACTTTCGACTGAAGGAATCTGGCTGGGCTAATACAAAAAACAGGGATATATTAATAATAAGTGGCTATGCATAATTACAACATAGAATTAAAACTTATGCGGATGGAGTTTCGGACGAGGCGTCACTTAATTGTAAAAAGAACCTTCCAAACCCTTAAAACCTCCAATTGGGCCAATTGGGAAGTTTGTGGTCTTAAGCTTTATGATGTCTTTTTCCAGTCTAAATAGTTTATCAGATGCTCACTACCTACTCCATTTAATTTTTTATGACTTCCGTAATTACCGCACACATGCGACCACGAAGAATAAAACAAAACAAAACAACAGTTTCCATTTCAACTCTATTCGTACTTAAAAATAAACCTAAAGTACTAGTAAAAAGACTAATTTCGTATTGTTGACAAAGATTTTTATTTCACACGGTACGGGTCACAATGAGATTACAAAGATGACCTATTATTTTCAGTTAAAACAGCTTGCAACTGTCTTAGTTTAGCCTTACGAGTAAATCTTATATAGGTGCCGAGATATGAATCCCGTTTATTGGACTGTGATTGGTCATATACGATATCAGTTAAGGTTAAAGAAAGATAAACCTCTCACTCGTATACTTTTGATGTAGGTACACATGTTCTAGGTCAATAGAAATACTATGTTAATACATTATGAATGTTGCCCAAATATCTACGTAATACACTGATTATTATTGTATTTTTTGATCAAAAATAGTAAACACCCTGTAACTGTTATTTCGTCTTAGGCAAACATTTTTTTTTATTTTTTATTTTTTTTACTTTACGTCCACATGAACATTGCATTATTTATTTGAAGAAAATTCTTAAGAAGTAATTTAATAATAACAGTCAGAGTGAATATTGTTTTTTTCTATTAATTCAATGAAATTATATTATATTTTTATGAATAAAAGTAGGTAGGTACATTTAGATAGGTATTACAGCATAAAAGTAATAACTAGATATGAATCAACAAATACAATTATTACATTAGAATATAAGAATTATTAATGGACTCTTATAATTTTCTCAATAAATATATGGAAATAATAAATTATACCTGCAGACATGTCATATACAATTTTTCCGTGTTTAATTCCATTGTGTCCTGTGTCTTGACTCGTTGACGTCGATGGTTTTTACACGATGCAGTCTTGTCACTCGATTAACACTAAAAATATCGTAAGCATGCATTTGTTTAGGTTTCATAATGTCAATACATAATACATAAAATAAAAAAATAAGTAATAAAACCTTTATTCATAATAACATACACGCAAAATCCAAAAATATATCTAAACTAGCTTTTACCCGCGGCTTCGCTCGCGTCACAAAAGGATAAAAAGTAACCTATGTGACATATACCAATACACACAGCGCCATCTATACCAATAATTTCGTTTTCACTCGAGAATATCAATTTTTCCGGAATAAAAAGTACCCTTATTTAATCCAGACTTCTAACTTCACATCTGCAAAAATTCAAAGCAATCGGTTTAGTAGTTACGGCGTGAAAGTGGAACAAACAAACAAACTCACTTTCCGATTTATAATATAAGTAGGAAAGGATCACGTACAATAATAATCGATCTCAAATAGTTAGAAGCCTGCACTAGGACAATCCTATATCGCAGAAGCTCTAAATATAATTCTAACAGTAGGCTCTTTAAAAGGCTTATTAGTAAGTCTATATTGCAGTGCAGGAAGAACCAATTCACAATTTATAAAACACATGTAAAAAGTGTATATGTTGTTTAGCCATGCGCTAACTTTACGATTTCGAATATATAAAAAAAATTACAATCATGTAAATAATTTAGATCACATAGGTACAAATTAAAAATCATTATAAACTTTGTCTTCATTATAACCGTAGACTATATACTGCGTCGCGGAGAACCTAACGGGTTACCGGGGCTCCGGCTCGACGTGCAGGAGAAGGAACGGGGTGGTTTTTAGTCAGTAAGAGTCTGACACTCCCTCCCGGCTCACCCAGGCGGGAGCAGTCATTCGATGACTTTCTCCCCTAAAAAAAAAAGACTATATACTGCATCACAATACGACTATATTTTATTATATACGGCCTTAATGCCTGGAATTTTTTACTCAAATAAAAGAAAATCGGCCATATTTTTTAATAGGGCTCCAAGTTAAGTCATACGATAACTACGCAGGAGCAGCTAGCATAGCACTGGACTAGTAATTCTTACACATTAAATAAATTAGTTCTCGACCAAATACGATACCCAAACAAATCAAAGCAACGAAAGTCGCTATTACTGTTATGCATAAAACCGAGAGGTATGAGAAAAAGAAGGAGAACCGTGCCCAGCACTGGATGAACCTGTACTTGACACTTAAATCATTTATTTCAATTACACCCAGTTTTTTAAGCAATCGAAATCAATGATTGTGATTGCAAACGGTAGCTAATTTGTCGTTTTTCTTGTTACAGACAGTGATATGCAGCTAGAGACAAGCAGTAGTGAGGCGAGTGCAGCGTCGTCCGCGGCCCTGTCGCAGCACTGCGCCATCTGCGGGGACCGCGCCACAGGCAAGCACTACGGAGCCTCCTCCTGCGACGGCTGCAAGGGTTTCTTCAGACGAAGCGTCAGGAAAAACCATCTCTATACATGCAGGTTAATGTTCAACCTTATAAGTTTTACCTGCCTTTTGTGATAGTAATTTTTAGTGTGATGTATAGCAACTAGCTCATTCCCTGTGACTTGCGAACAGTGTGATAATATAGCATGTTTAGTTATTCTACACTTGATTAGGTAAGTAATACTTAAAGTATATGGTGAGGTTAATTCAAGGCCCCGATCAAATCATACCCTCTAGTCATCGACGGTTAGCTGAAAACTGTTGAATTGTTTACAAATCCTCCGTCTAACATCGGCCAACATTGACCACGTTGACCATGAATGAACGTACTATACAAAGTATCTAACACGTACTTACCATCACTATAAAAATAACCAATTTAAAAAGATATAAATATGTAACACGACACCAGAGTACGCAGATAAACAGTAGACCAAGTGGCTGAGTCTAATAGGCTGTGACAAATCATGATAGATAACGCCTAACCTATCAACTGACGCCGACTTAACCAATTGACTACGTAGACACAACAGCAAATCAAGGTATCCTATAACAATCGGTCGCAGTGGCTGGATGGCGGCTGCATAATGTCGTGGTTCCGCCAAAACAATTCTTTGATGTCATCCTTATCCATAAATTTCAATTCTCCGTGTTTGTAAATAAAGGACACAAGAGAAAATTCTAGTGTGCAACCTGAATAAAATTCCATTGCAATTTCAATTTTATTACAAAATATTATGGTTGAAAATCTATTACAAAGATTATGTAGATTGATATTGTAGCGTCTGCTCAATAATCGATGTTTTTAAACTATGTAAACGAAACAATTTTGACCGAATGCTGATTGCGTTCATCAGCCATGACCTTGCAATAGTAGTAGATACAAAAACACACCATTTATTTGATTACGATCCTTGACATAAAATTGCTTCGGATTTCCGTCTCTTCCTCAGTTGTGTAATAGCATGAAATATGGATAATGTAACTATTAAATAACAACATGACGCATTCCTCGAAAAGGTAGGCTTTTTTATGGGGGGAAAATCATTGAATGACTGCTCCCGCCTGGGTGAGGCGGGAGGGAGTGTCAGACTCTTACTGACTAAAAACCACCCCGTTCCTTCTCCTGCACGTCGAGCCGGAGCCCCGCTTACCCGTTAGGTTCTCCGCGACTCCGGATCGGCATCGGCCCTGTTGGGTATAAAATACGTATAGCGTAAATTCAGCGTTAACAGTTGGTACTCAATTCAATGCAACGTGCCTCTTGCATGAATTGTCTAATAAGCACTAGTTTTACAATCGGGACTCCTTGCTCTTTAAAACATGGTTGCTAGTACTCCTTCCAATAAAAGTGCATCATGATGCACTATGCTTTAGAAGGAACATGTTCCTTCTAGAGAATGATAGGATATATTAACTGATTATGTTTATTGCCAAATTGTCATCTGCTAGATAGAAGCCTCTCGTCTCTCCGTAACACGTCACTGAGGTCGATCCTCAAACTCTTCAGTTCTAATCACTACCAGCCAGTTTGAGCCTTGTGATTTTATATTACAAAAACATTATGTAATTTATACCACACCCATTTACCACCCAGGTCTAGTGAAGTGTCGCAGATTTATGATTACGTCAAAGCTAATCTTATACAAATATTGAACTGTTCAAACATATCGCTAAGTCATCGTTACCGAGCATACGCTAATAACTAATAACACACATCAAGTTACTTTTTTTTGTTATGTTTTTCGCGAAAAATATTGGTCGCAAAATACTGGCATAAGATGTCCAGAAGAAGCAAATGAAGTGTAAAAAGGCAAAGTACAAAAAGGTTTCGTTCAAACAATTTCTTTTTTCTGCTTTACTCGTTGGGATGTTTCCATTTTTTCATAGAACTTTGGGTTTTGTCACTCTTTTTATTCCATTATTAATAGGTACAGGGCTTTTTATAATGCACAAATTGTTCATCGACGCTACGACTGTACAATCCAAAATCCAAAACCTTAATAGTGAGATCAAACGATACTCGTCAATTAAGACATAGTTTTTCAAATGTCTTATTTCTCTGCAGCAGATTAGATATCCTATTAATTTACTAGATCGTATACTTATCACAATTGTACATCACATAATACGGCTATCTCTAATATTGTTAAACAAAATGAACCAGTTTTGCTTATCTCGTTGTCACTTGCGGATTTACAAGTGCACTTGTGAAACTGGTGAATGACACGAGTTGGCAAGCCCCTGGCATTCCCTCACCGGTGGGAACCTCACAACCTCAGCCGATGCTGGGAGCTCGCCAAACTATAAATTCGATAGTAGATGATAGCATATGAGATAGAGATTGCTGCAAAAATTACGTCACCCGTAAAATAACAAATGATAATCTGGTGTTAACATAATCATTTGGTACTTTATTTGTGTCTTGTATAATAAGGGGTATCTTTTACCATTCTTAAGATTAGAATACACATATACGAGTAAGCGACCTTGTAGGATTATTGGGATAAAGAATATTCTCTCAATAAACTAAACTTTTGTTCCAAAAGTAGAAACCATCTTTCAGATCAAGCTTCGGAGCCTGTTCACCTGTTCAGTAGATACAAGCTACAATTAAAATATCTTTCCTCATTCCAATATTAGTAAACATTTACACATAACTAATTAGTCCTACGTACGTATGCACAATTCGTATCATATAGTTACGTCAAAATATGTTAGTCGGTAAGTACATAGAATGCGGTTTACCGTGAGTTCTAACAAACTTGTTTCCTCTTAAATATGATCTTGTTTTTGTGTCAGCTTCGTCTTTACGTCAATATATTGATGTGTCTATGTGTTTATGTATATTGTAGGTAGGTTTCTTACCGGCTATGTTAGGAAAAACAACTAAAATATGTTTTTGTAAAGGTATTAGTACCTATTATTGCCTTAGGTAATTGGGTATAGTGCGCAGTGTCCTTTCCTAAATGCGAGGTGATTTCGTGTTGATTTTAAGATTCCATCTCAAAACTTTGTTTTTATAGTTTCTGTAAATAGAAGATTTAACTAATAAGGAGTTAAAAATCTTCCGTAAAAGATTTTCTCATAAATTAAGGTGCGTTTCTAAAGTTAGCAAATATTATTAAGTTTATTAATTTTATGATATGGCAATAACCACAGAACATATAAAGAAGGTCCTTCTATTTGTGTTCTGTGGGATTAACTATGTTTATTGTGTCAATCAATCCTCCTCCTTGAATCGATTTCCTCAGTGCTAAGGGTCACAACCACCCTTCTGCATCACCTTCTCGCAGGTGGCAGATGATCATCTTCATTAATTTCTGTCTCTGGCGATCTGGAGGGCGTTATGGTAGCATCGAGTGTGATGCGGATTTGATCGTCAATCAATAGTAATATTCGATATTTCCATGGCTTCTACTTACCGCATAACAAAACATAAGTTTTTTCTAATATCCGTTTAATATCTAAACCAGTACTTTTCTCCAAATTGAGTTCTCGAATGGTATATAAATAATAATGATCACAAATATCATAAATTCATGATGATTTTAATAGATATCTATAGAAACGTAAATACCCCGAATTTGGTATATTTTTAGACACCATTGACGTATGTTATATGCAAATTATGATTTTTTATAACCTTCAGCGAGTATAGGTTATTAAATATTATGGTCTGTAGGCTTATAACTTTTTTTGCTGTTCAATAATTATGGTAGCTTATTAGCTTTACAATACCCGTGTATGGATTAACGTGACATGGCGACTTGTTTTCTAGAAGTGATAGAAGGTCAGACTGGGAGAAAATGCCTGCGGCATTAAGTCCACCTATTGCGTATCGAGTGTATAAACCATATTAAATAAATAAAATAGGTTTACTTTTGATCAATTCGGTTGGTTTGGTTTGGTAAATTTTCTTTTTAACTTAGATCCACTAAAATTTTATCTCAAGTTAGGGATTTATCCCAAATAGGTGCGTTCACAAACATACAAGGGCACACAGTACACCCAGACCCGAAACAATCATTTGTGGATCAAACAAAAAATAGTTCCGTACGAGTGCAAAGCAATTGTCATGAATATCAAAATATTAATTAAAAACTTACCCCTTATTACATGGCTCACCCCCTATTACATGGAACTCATAACATAAATAGTGAAAAGTGGGTGTTACATTGTACAGTGGTATTGTTGAGGTGATAAGGTTGCAGTTTGCTTGTGTAGATTTTCCAATGAAAGACGTGCGGTTGTTTCGAAATTATATTTGACACTAAAGTAAATATGTTGAAGGTAGAATGACATGAATGGACTACAGATTAATAAATATACAAAATTATGTGATACAAACTTTTTGAACGAACATACCGCCCACCAAAAGGGCTTTAAGACCCTTTTTTAAAAATACTAAAATAACATAACTTACACAATTAACACAAACATAACCATTGAATTAGAGAATTCTAGTAACAAACTTCTAATGTAACATAGCGGCAGGACGATATGACTTAAATTATGTTACATGAACTAACAAACAAATATTATTTATTTATTGGTCTTTAGTATAAATTGGTAAGTAACATAAGTTTGAAATTGATCTTCGAGTTACTTTGCCATTGTATCGTACAGTATAAACTCGTGTTATTCCATCCTGTCCAGGGTGTTTTTCCATTATACGTGCCAATGCCCACTTGCTAGGAGGCATGTTTTCGTTTTTTAATAAAACAATGTCACCAACTTCAAATTCTAGTGTTCTCTTCAGCCACTTAGGTCTTTGGTTCAGTCGTGATAGGTATTCAGTTTGCCAACGTTTCCAAAATCCCTGAACCAATCGTTGGGTATGTTGCCATCTTGATATCAAATTAATACTAGCAGAGGTATAGTCACGGTCAGGTACAGTAATAAGAGGTTCTCCGACGAGGAAATGACCGGGTGTAAGGACTTGTATGTCATCCATGACGTCAACATCTGTAGATATAGGTGTCAGAGGCCGGGAGTTGAGACAAGCTTCGATCTGTGTGAGTACTGTGGTGAA